TTCTTTAATAAACACATATATTTTATCTTATATCTTATCTTATTTTCTTCTTGCTCTATTAAGAGAGCATTTTATTATAAGTAAAACTTATATATATTATTTTATTGAGAAGATAATCATATTTTATTAGAAGTAAATTTCTGTATATTATTTTATTGAGAAGATAATCATATTTTGTTATAAGTAAAATATGTATAAATTATCTTATTGAGAAGATAATCACATTTTTATCAAAAGTAAATCTTATATACATTATCTTATTAAAAAGATAACCAGTCATATAATCTCTTGAAGTTATAAAAGTAAACAATTACCATGAACACAGTCACTATTACTATTTTAAATTAATTACATACACATAATCTTAAAATGGTAACAATATTAAGAAGATTTTAATTATTGATATTGATCATGAGATTCTTAAAAAAGTTTATAAATTCTTCTTTTTTATTCAGCAAATTAATGAAATTTGTATTATTAAAAAAGGATACAAAAAGAAAAAGTGATATTAGAATTATTATTGTCTCATTATCATTATCTCTTCTTCTATCAATATCAATTGTCCTGCTAATATATTTTTCATGAGTATATATATAATATTAGAAAACTATTAACTACTAGTACTTGAAAAAAATTTTAGCAAATATTCAAAGAATATGAATTTGAAATATATAAAAATCAGAAGCCAGTAAAAATTATAACATATAAGAAAACTGAAGCTAAAAAAATAGCCAAAAGTCAATGACAAATTATAAATAAGTTGATAAAAAGAATGTATGACCTATATTAGAAAGTTGAAAAAAGAAAAGATACTGAATAAACAATTATATTTATTAAAAAATTAAGAGTTAGTTTAGAATCTGTTTTAAGTTAATATTATTTAAGTTTAATTTTAAATTTTATTATAATATAATTTTTATTTTACAATTAATTTTATATAAATAATTATTTATCATAATATTAATCAAGTATTAAATTCTTTATATTATTATAATAAGAATTATATTATTAATTAAGTACTAAATTTATTATATTATTTCAATAGAAATCATACTATTTGAGACTCTCATATTTAATTAAATTCTTAATTATGAGATCAGATAATAAATTTTTTTGTTAAATAATATATATAATCCAAATATATAATCAGATGAGTTATTATATTATTTAACTTGTACTTTTTTTTGATAATAAATTAGAATATTTTAATCTTTGCAGAATATAAATCTCTAGTTAAATTTTTATTTTCTTATGTTTTTTATTACAAATCTCTTCTTTTCATATACTATTATTATTATTCTATTAAAATCTGTAATTCTGAATTTTATGAAGAGAATCATCTGACTGTAAAATATTTTATAATATCATATAATTTCTAACTCTTTATTTTTTAGCATCCTTCAGTATAATAATGGAAGTTGCAACTAGTTATAACTTTATTATAATTCTCTAATTAACTATCATAACTCTATCACAATTCTCTAATTAACTATTGCAAATTACAACTAGTTGAGAAGTCATCTTTACTTCAGTATCATATTTATAACTATGTCTATATTTCTTTTTTATAGTATTCTTCAGCACATAAGATTATATTATATCCTTTAGTTTTTTATATTTTCTAGCCTATATTATTGATATTATAGATTATGATAGTTTTTCTCTTATTTTTCTGCATTTTCTAGTATATGTTATTAATAATATATATATATATATATCACAATAATTTTCATTATTCTTCTAGCATTTTCATTCATATTCTTCAGTATAATAGATCATGTTACTCTTTCTTTAGCCATTCTTTATTATTACTTACCTATTAATATAATAAAGAAATTATATAAAATTAGAATAATATTACTTTTAATATAACAAAAGATAATAAAAATATATAAAGTAAATAACTCTTGAATTTTTAAAAAAAGAACAGAAATAAAATTATGTACAAAATCTTTTTTTCAAGAAAAATACTTATAAAAAATCTTGTAAAATTGTAAGTTTAATATATTGGTTAGACTCTTTTTACCAGAAAAGATAATGATTTGGATTAGATTCTTTAGTTCAAAAAAGATAAAATACATCATTGATTGAATGATTTGATTGATCCAAGTTTAAAACTTTTAGCTAGAAAAAGCATAGGAATAAAAAGAATAGATTAATTAATAATTAATACATGAATTCTTCTTTATCCTATCTCATAATTACCTTTAAAAACACCTATATTGAATGATATCCATAAATATCAGCACAGAACTTAAACTAACTAATAAAATTAGTTTAATTACCCTCTTCCATTCACTATTACAGTTCATGCTAGCAAAAATAAAATTACAAATAAATAATATAGTCTGAGTTCATAATCAAAATCTTTTCAGAGTTCTTCCTAAACAAATGTAAAGCACCAATAGCAAGCAAGCAAGCAATAGTCAACAAGTCAAGATTATTTTGATATACGTGTCATGCAGTCGGAAAATCGATTTTCCGATTGCACCGCCGAATCTCTTCCGAAGTGATTTCAGCCACAAATATCACATGACAAAATCACATGTCCACCAGGCTTTAGCCAACCCCCCACTTTGGAGATTTTTATTTCATTGATTCACACAGCCACAATGCTGATTGGTAAATTTCAATAAATTTGTTGTCTCTTTATCAAAGTGAGACAGACATTGAGGGAAACAGCCATTTTTATAAATTCTCATCGATGTTAACCAATTTGCCTCTTTCGAAAAATTTAACATACGCTCGTAAAGGCATGTTGTAGCACAAGTACTTTGTAATTTGTTAAGTATGTTTGAAATCCATTCTCAATCGTCGTTTAAACACTTTAAGGAATCCTCTCGAGCAGATTTCCAACAAATGCATTAATTGAGTATTCTCAAGCGTGTCTTTTTAGTAGCATACGATCTTTTAGTAATACAACAGCTATAAGACAACAATACTTTGATACAAACAAATTTGTACAGAAATTAGAAAGTGAAGGATTTACGCGTGAACAGAGCGAGGCTTTTATGTATTCATTAACTGAAGTTATGAATGAAAGGTTTACGGTTACTTCTATATATTAATCATGCTATTAAAATTTATATATTACTGCTAAATTATAATATCTCAAATATAAATTAGCATGGAAACGATCACCAAAAATTTGGTAACAAAAGCGGAACAGGAGAAAGTATGAATACAAAGTAATATTCAGTTTGTGATTTGGATGTTAATTTTTTAAAAATCAAAATCTCTCGTAATTTTACTGTTGCCTTGCCATTTTATTTTATAATAATTTATTGATCAATATTTTACCACATGATACTCGTATAACACAGAGTGTCTACACATCAAAAGTGGACTTTGCACAATTGAAATCTGAAATGCATATGCTTGAGAAAAATGACGCATCACTAATGAAAGCTGAGAATGAGCGACTTTTAACAGAAATCGAGAAACTGAAATCGAAATTGAATGAAGAAGTAAGACGTACACAAGCAGGTGTTCGTCTAGATTTAAACCTCGAGAAAGGTCGAATAAGGGACGAAGCTAGCTCATTGGAACTGAAAATTAAAGAAACAGAAACACGTATTGAGAGTGAAATTAGTAATTTAAGAACACAAATGGAAACTACAAAATTCCAAATCCTACAGTATATGCTTGGTAAATAAATATGTTTTGGGATAATTATTTTTACTAATTCTAATTATTACATAATATCACCCACTCACCATTAGGTACTTTGACTGGCGCGGGAGCATTAATACTAGGTATTGTTCGTTTGAATTGTGTTTTTCATCCCCATATTTGGATTTTACATTTATTTTCCCGCATTATTTGTAGCTTATCTGAGGATGTTTCGGTGAAAAATGTTTAATAAAATGGTGGTATTATCACCATTTACGAAGAGCATATTATTAAATTAACTTTCCTAGATGGAAAATCGGAAATTAAGATTTATAATTAATTACAATAGGGTTCCGAAAATAAAAAAAAACCATTATAATGATGACGTTAAAATCATGCATTACGATATACAAATGTCGATATTTGAATGCACAAATCGAAAGTCACCAAGTTAAATAATGTATAGTCCAAAAATTCGAGATTTATTTATCAAATGATATTACTGCCAGTTCCTTTATTTAACTGATTATATATTCGTTCCACGCGATCATAAACTATTTTTAAAGTCTGATTTGTAGCGGCGAGTCTTTTTCTCGCGTTAATCAATTTTTGAAGGGAAGATTGAATTGGAGGGACCTCAGCTGCTTCGTTGAATAGTTGAAGTTCTAAAATTTTTTATTTGAATTACATTATATGTAAAAAAAATAAAATAAAAAAAATGATGATATAATGTGTACCTGCAAGCAATCTCTCAATCTCTTTATTTAGTTCAGTTTGACTTGATTTCACTGCAACAATTCGTGAATCCATTTCTTGAACAATTGGGGTCAACAAATCTAAAATTCCTCGAGCAAACTTTTCTTTTTTTAATTCATTTACTTCGTCATTAAAATCAACTTTCGGACTTGATTCAGTCATTGTTGAGATAAAATAAAACTTCATGCTCCCAAGTTATGACTTAATTTGGAAAGATTAGATCATTTCACGCACGTGGCTCTACAAAATAAAAAATATTTCAAACTTTTTCCAAAATCAATTTGCAATTAGCTTACCATGAATGAAAGAACTTTTAAACTTCCAGAAATTATTGATAATGAGAACGGATGGGGCCCCTCACCTGCCATGTTTCCTGAGAAATTTAGGGATATACCGTATGCACCGTATAGTAAAGCGGATAAGTTAGGTAGAATTGCCGATTGGTCGACTCCAGAACAAAAAGAGAAAGAGAGTACTGGACGACAACGAGTAAATTATAGGAATTATCGAGGCAGGTCTATGAAATTCATTATTAATTTAACTTGAATATTGAACCTAACTTTTTTTGATATATAGATCAATATACAGCTTATGGGAGTGGAGTATCAAGTGCTTTCGCATATACACATGACGAAGACGAAGCATCTTTCTCTGTGGTCGATAATCGTACAACAGCGCAGAAAAAGGCTTCACAATTTCGTGTTACTGGTGGGACAAAGGTGAGTAGATAAGATCAATGATTTAATATTTTGACATTTCTAATTATGGCTTAATTATTAATTAATAGACTCGGCAAGGAGGTCGGGGAGGGCAGACTAATCGTAATACAAGAAATGGACAATTCACTCGAACAGGCATCCCGGGGAGAAATATGTTTACTGGGAAAAACGCCGCCGCTGTTGTTAGGAAGAGATTTGGTTGGAAAGATTATGATAAGGTTGGTATTAGATTAGATAACATATAGACCATAACACCTTTTTATTTACTGATCTCTTTTGGCGTATAGCCTCAACGGTCACGCGACGCTTCTGTCAACGTAGGACCTGATTGGAAAGTACTTGAAGAAATTGAATTTAATCGACTTTCTAAACTTAATTTAGAAGTAGATGAAGGCGAAGATCTGTAAGTGAATGGTGAGATTGACTATACTTTTAGATTTGAGAATATTTATCTTTTCTTTAATAAAATCAACATCATTACTAGATCAACTTATGGAACTTTGTTTTACTATGATAAATCATATGATCGCGTATCGACAAAGACAGAAAAATCTTTACAACAAATAGAACGTGTTCGACACTTTACCTCCACTTCAAAAGATCCAATAATTGAACAGGTATTTTTTTTTATCTTAAATTTAGTCTTTTTAAATTAAGAATATTAAAAGATTTTGATTATTAACTAATAGTTCGCCAAAGAAGGTGCAGCGGTTGTTTTTGCCACCGACGCGATTCTTAGTCTTTTAATGTGTGCACCGCGAACAGTCTATCCATGGGACATGATTATCAATCGGGTAGGAAATAAGTTATTCTTTGATAAAAGAAATAATGGTGTTTATGGTATGCATATTTAAATAGTAATAAAAACGATTTCTTTCTTTATCATTACCTTACTTAAAATTTATCACAATTGTAATTACCCCAGATTACATTACCGTGAACGAAAATGCTGCCGAGCCACCAAATGAGACAGGCGACAAGGATAATATTAATTCACCGAGTGCCCTAGCGTTGGAAGCTACTCTAATCAATCATTTTTTTGCAAACCAAGTTGTAAACGAAGTTTGTATTTTTTTTTTAAGATATAGAGAAATTAAGTTTATAAAATCTAAAGGAACTAATTATTTATTTATTTCAAAATGACCGATAGCCAGAAAAATATGATTTCGACAAGCCGAATCCTTTTCCAAGTTCTCCCGAAGAATTTGAATATTTGGCATCATGCGCGTATCGTTATCGTCGTTTTGATCTTAGCGTAAATGAGGAGGAAGATTTGACTCTTATTGTTCGCACTCAATTGGATGCTGTTGTGAAAACGACATCAGGAGATTCATTCATCACAATTAAAGCGCTAAATGAATTTGATTCTCGAGCACAAGGTGCTGGCGGCGCATTGGATTGGCGACAAAGATTAGACACTCAACGTGGTGCTGTCGTGGCGACAGAAATGAAAAATAATAGTTGTAAATTGGCCAGATGGGCCATGCAAAGTATTTTGGCCGGAGCTGATCAAATGAAACTTGGGTGATTATATTATTTTTCTTATTCTGTATTATTAGGAAGACACTAATGTTTCTATTGTCTAATAGATACGTATCACGTGTTTCTCCAAAAGATCACCACCGTCATGTAATTCTTGGCATACAATACTATAAGCCTCGCGATTTCGCTGTACAGATGAATTTATCAGCGTCTAATGGTTGGGGTATTGTACGAACAATTGTTGATCTTTGTATGAAATTACCAGAAGGCAAATATGTCCTATTAAAAGATCCTAATAAGGTGAAAATCATGATATTTTCCCTCCATATGTTCACCTTAAAATGATGAAATCATTAATAAATTTTCATTTAATAGCCGGTGGTTCGACTCTACTCCGTGCCTCCGAATTCATTTGAGGCCGAGGAAGAAGCAGCATTAGATGATGTTGACGATTTAGATGAGGATGAAGATAATATACCACCAGAAAATTAATAATTTTGGGTACCGTAATGTTGCCATTAATTTATTGGATTAAAATAAACGTCACCTGACTATTTAATGGAGATGGGCACAATAATAATAATGTTGACTATATAATATATATATTTTGCTTTTGATTATAAAAGTGAGAGCTTGATAATCTTATTAAGATATAGGTTGTTCCAACATTCCTTAAAATATATTCAACAAAGAAATAAACCCCATAGCTAATCCAACCAAAAGTGTCCCGATTTCCCATAAACTCACGCATAAAGCCCGCGAATCCAAATAATATTGTAAACGCAGCAATCGGTATACAGTGCGTTGCGAAATTACCATTTTTGCTTATATTCAATGAAATCATATAAAATTTTAAATATATATGCTTGATAACCTAGTGAATAAGTTTACTTAATATTTATCCCAATAAAATTTTTCATAATTAATATTTTTTATTAAAATTCTTTTTGAAAAAATTTGATTATTATATATCTTCAAATATAAGCAATTCCTGAATATAAGCAATCACCTCTTTTTAAGATCTGAAATTCTGAAAATATTATATATAAAATATAATAAATTTATAATTGAATATAAGTAAATTCTCTCTCTCTTCCTTTCCTCTCCTCTTTATCCTATCAAAATCTTGTATTTTTTGATTGTTTATATTTGAAGATATATGATATAAAAAATTTAAAATATTTTTTTAGTTTTTTTTTATTTATTATTTAATAAATATTTGTTTAAATCATATAAAACTTTAGGTATATATATTTGATAATCTAGTAAAATAAGTTTATTTAAGATAAATTTGAAAATAATAATGATTATTAAAAATATAAATTATTAAAAATTTTAATAAAATAAGTATTTAAAATAAAGTTATTTATCATGCTTTTAAGTATATATATTTAAATTTTATATTATTTAAATAAATATTTATGAAAAAAATTAAATATTTTACTTTTTTTTGTAATATACTATATATTTTTGTGAAGTCACATTCTATTTCAAAATTAATAATAATTTATCAAAAAATATTAAGCATCTTGTTACTAGATCAAAAGAATATTATTTTGAATATGACTCTTTTCATTTTAAAATTTCTATAATTCTAATATATTTATTAAATCAAATATAATAAATTAAGCTAATACTATTTATTTTATTGAAAAAGTTTTTGTATGATAAATAAATACTAATTATATTATTTAATATTAAATAATTATATATATATATCATATTATTGAATTTTTATTAATTATATTAGAAAAGATATATTTTTTATTATGACTAGAAAATTAGAAAAAATATCTGAATTTATTAATATTACTCATTTTTCTATTATCATTATTATTATTATTTATTATTATTTTTTTTATTTATTATTATTATTATTTTTTTATTTATTTTTTCTTGTTAATTATTTACAAATTTGATCTTTTTTCTCTTTTTTATTATTATAGTTATATCTAATATATTTCTAAAAATAGTTATTATCTAAAATAAAATTATTTATATTATTTTATTTTAATATAGTTTTCATATTTTGATTTAATTAAACTTAAATAATATATAAAATATAATTATAAAAATAATTTATTTAAATATATATTAATATAAATTTATTAATAAGTATAAATAAATTTTATTTAAAAATTATATAAATCAAAAAACTTAAATATATTTAATAAAAAATTTATATTAAAATATATTAATCTTTTTTATTATTACTAATATTATTTTATTTATTATCTTTTAACTAGATTTATTCTATTTTTTATATTTTATTATTAAAGTTATATAATTAAATAATAATAAAGAATTTATTATTTAATATTATTATTAGTTATAATTATATTAAAATAAAAAAAAAAGTTTAAGATTAAAATTATTCTTAATAAAAAATTATAATCAGATCTTTTTATAGTTATATTTTTTTATAATTATATTTTTTTATAATTATTTTTTTGAGTTTTTTAATTATAATTAATTATAAATAAAAAAAATCTCTATAATTATATTTTTCTTTAGTTATCTAATTTTATTTTTCTAAATATAATAATTATAAAATATAAATTAAAATTTAGTATTTAATTAAATAATTAAATTATTTCTTATATAATATTACTTAAAAATTTATTAAAAATTTATATAATATTATAAAATTTATGAAGAAATTTAAATAAATTTACAATTAATAAAAGTATTAATACTTAAAAAAAAGATATAATTAAATCTTTTTATAGTTATATTTCTTTATAATTATTATTTTTAAGTTTTTTAATTACTAATTAATTATAATTAAAAAAATTTTTTATAATCATATCTCTTTTTAAATATTTAATTTTATTTTTTTAAGTATAATAACTATAAAAAGATTTGATTATATATAATAATTTTAGATTAATTAATTTTATAAATTATTAAGCTATAGTTATTATATTATATATTAAGAATTATATTACTTTATTTCTTAATAATTAAATATTATAAATATTATATAAAATAAATAAATTAATAAATGAATCTAATTAAAATATCCTATTTCAGAAATAATCTTGAAAAATTAGTTCAGCTAGGACTGGAAATTTTAAAATTTTTATTTGATTGGTTATTAAAAAATATGATACATAGTGATTTTTATTAGGTAAAATGTGATAATTATATATTTATTATACTTTTTATTAGATGAAAATGATTGGGTTAGAATTAATATATTATAATAATCTGAATATATAATTTGTGAGTTATATAGTTAAATAAATAAAAAATAAGTAAATATTTTAGTAATTTTAATATATCATATTATTATATTCTGATTGACTACAAATATCACAGATATATGAGTATATTTTTTTTCAGTCATGAATTTATAATATTTAGTTTCTAAACATCCCTTTCATCATGATATTAATAGATTTTTAATTGATTCAGATTTATTTTTTTTATTTGCATCATTAGGTTAGATTTTGAAGAGTTCTTGAAAATTTTGATTTTGCACAGAATAGATAAGTATAGTTATTATTTTTTTGTGCTAGTTAATAAACTTTTTTAACTATATTACTATTTTATTATGATTATCATAATTAATAGCAAGTTAGGCTATATATTATACCAGTTTTTACATCTCTTTATATTTGGCTTTTCATTATACTATATAATATAAAATAGATGTTATAATCTTGGATATGATTGAGAAATTTGATATAAGTATTTCATTCAATTAATTTTTTAATGAAATTCTGTAATTTTCAAATACATTATGACTTGAAAATAATAGTGACAAATAATATTACAAGATATATTAAATATATATGAACAAAGATAAGAAATAGAATTGATCACTATTATGAAATATAAGTATTTATTTTCAGATTATATATATTTAATTTTTTACACTTCTTAAATATTTTCTTTATCAATCTTAATAATTATTAATTTTAATAGAATTTGCTTGATATTATATAAGTTCTTAATAAATTTATCTAGCATATCAAGGTTGGAATTCTAAATATAATAAAAATATTAGATTATACTCAAATAACTTCAAATACTTATATTAAATCTTATTATCTCATCTTGAATATTCAGTATATCTATTTGATCTGCAATAAAATATAGATATTATATTATTTCTAACTATTTAGTAAATAATATATAGAGAGTAAGATATTTGGTCATTTATTTATTAATTTCTGAAAAAATATCATGACTAACTGATATAATTTTTATATAAGATGACATAGTATAATATTTAAAAAATCAATTTCATTATGTCTTATCTTGAAGTCTTATATCTACTATATCTATAAGATTATATAAACTACTACTTACTATTAATATATATTTGATAATATAGTTAAGATCTTTAATACAGAAGATAGTTTGAATTTTTATTGTGAATACTTTTAATATAAATATTCAGATTCATACTTATTAATTAGGATAAAGTACTCTCATCAGGTAATTTTTAATATTAGAATATATTTTAATAAGTTATGATCATTATTTATAGAAATTTTCTTCATATAAGTTATTATAATATAGGAAAAAGTTATAAACAAAGCTTTCATATTAATTATAAAGCTTAGATTTGAGATTTTTTAATAGATTTTTGCTGATATGAAAAATATAGTGAATTGAATAGATGATTTTATATATTTATCTAATTGTAACATCTGTCATGAAATTCATATCTATAATAAATATTAATAGCTTAGTTATTATTACTTTTTTAATGTATTCTAGAATTCATTTATAAGACTCAGTTATTTTGTCTGATATAAGAATTTGTATCATAAGATATAATCTCATATTATTATTTATAACAAGAAAAAGTAAAAGTAATATTTAATACTAATTTATTTTAATAGTATTATTGTTTAAGAAAATATCATAATATTCTAATCAAAAAATAATCTGTATTAATAATATTTAAAAAAAATAGATAAATTAATTTTTATTATTCAGTTCAAACTTAATAGTCTATAAAATTCTGAATAATTCAGTTCAATTTCAGTTTAATTCTTAATTTTTAGAAGAATTAAATTATTATAATTTGATTTGATTCTGATTATTAGTAATTATGGAATCAAATCAAATCAAATTGATGATTTATTATATAATCTAATATAATTTTTCTGCTAAGTCATTTTTTTCCTGAATAGATAGATTTTTTTCATCCATTTTCTATTAATAAATGATCAACTAGATTTAGAAGAGAGTAATAGTACCCTATATAATGCTTCTAATATGATAGTATCTGATGAAAGTAAGAAAATAAGGAGCATTATTTGGATGCATTTTAGTTGAAATCA